TACAGTTTGGGTGCGAGAAAAGAGGTAATTTTTTAACCATTTTACTGTGTTTTCGGAAAAACCGAGGCAACTTATTTTACTAAGCAGGATGTTGTGGTCTACTGTATCAAAAGCTTTGGACAAGTCAAGAAAAAGACAGGCGCAGTACTGCTTATTATCAAGGCTACTGTAAATGTGATTCAGAGAGTCTAATGCAGCAGATGTGGTGCTGTATTTTTTTCGGAACCCAGATTGTTTTAGATGTAATAGATTGTTGGCGGACAGGAAACTGTTAATTTGGTAGGTCAATAATTTTTCAAAAATTTTCATCAACGGGGACAAAATTGAGATAGGTCGGTAGTTATTTGGATCATCTTTAGGGCCCCCTTTGTGAAGTGGACGAACATAGGAATGTTTCCATTCTAGAGGAACTGATGCTTCTTTGATGGACAGGTTGAAAATATGGGCTATAGGTTTGTATATTAGGTGACCAACAGTTAGTAGAGCAAAGACGGGAATACTATCTGCTCCGGTAGAGGAGGACCCTTTGAGGTAGGACAGTTGTTTCAGAACATTACTTTCGTGGATTGGCTGAAAACTAAACTCGCGCTGAAAAACGACCCCATTCTGCAACGCATTGACGTCGGGCTACAATGTAATGACGTCACGTTGGAATACAGTGACGTCACGCTGTAACGCAATGACGTCACGCTGCAAGTCATTGACGCCATGCTGCAGTTCAAAGACATGGATGCAACAAACTGACGTTATGCCACGACGGAATGGCGTCACGCTGCAATGCAATGACGTCACGCTGCAATGCAATGACGTCATGGTGCAACGTATTGACGCCATGCTGCGACGCAATGACGTCATGCTGCAAACGCAAATGCCGCCATGCCGGAACGCATTGACGTCATGCTGCGAACGCAATGATGTCATGCTGCGAACGCAAATGACGTCATGCTGCGAACGCAATGACGTCATTCTGCAGCGCGATGACGCAATACAAAAGCCAGGTTCCTCAGACAATGGCGATCACTCGGGGTGGCTGTGTTCGTGAGCGGGAATCGAACTCGGGTAGCCGGGTTCTGAAGTGCGGTGTCATCAAGACACACACACACACACATATATATAAAAACCTACATCATATATATAGAAACCTGCATTATATTTAGATGCGACACAGAGTAATAAAGGATGCAGAGGGACGTGTGTATTCGTGTAGCCCGTTAGGCTTGCTCAGCCGTGTATTTTCCACTGCACAACCGAGCCGTGCCGAACCGTGCCAGCTCGGCAGACTCCTGGTTTTTTTTTTTATCCCCATCGCATAACTCCGAGCCGTGCCGCTGGGCCCTGCTTGGCCCCCAGCACGGATTCGGACGTCTTGAGAGGGCCAGCGTAGCACGGTTTGGTTCCGGCTCGGATGTGCCAGTGGAAAAAAGGGGTAAAAGTGGACAGAACAGCCTGCGTAGTTATTTCATAAAGAGGTGCGGTGGTAAGTGAGACTGTCAACCCCTTATCAGTGCCCTACCTTATTACTACAGACCAATTCAGACTGTATCGGTCAACCCCGTGCCCCTTATGATCGCCACGTTCATCCTACAATGGCCCGTCACAAGGGAGAAACGCAAACAAATACACATTTTGTAAATTTCCCTGTACAAGAAGAATACGGGGTAAACCGCAGGGGGTGACAGCTTTGCTGAAATTCAGGTTTCAGTCGCTACCAGTGGTTAAACCGGAATTCTCAAGTGCAGTGAGTTGATGATGGTCTTAGCACGGTCACCACTGACTCACACAGAGGCTCATAGACTCGCATAGAGACCCACAAACTCACACAGAGACCCATAGACTTACATGGAATCCTCTTGTGATTAAATCTGGTTGCCAAGTGCAGTCAGTTGATGATGGTCTTAGCCTGGTCACCAATAACTCACACAGAGACTCGTAGACTCGCATAGAGACCCACACACTCACAAAGAGACCCATATACTTACATGGAATCCTGTTGGGATGAAATCTGGTTCTCAAGTGCAATGAGTTGATGGTCTTAGCCTGGTCACCACTGACTCACACAGACTCATAGACTCGCATAGACACCCACAAACTCACAAAGAGACCCATAGACTTACATGGAATCCTCTTGTGATGAAATCTGGTTCTCAAGTGCAGTCAGTTGATGGTATTAGCACGGTCACCACTGACTCACACGGAGACTCATCAACTCGCATAGAGACCCACAAACTCACTAAGAGACCCACAGACTTACATGGAATCCTCTTGTGATGAAATCTGGTTCTTAAGTGCAGTCAGTTGATTATGGTCTTAGCCTGGTCACCACTGACTCACACAGAGACTCATAGAGACCCACAAACTCACAAAGAGACCCATAGACTTACATGGAATCCTCTTGTGATGAAATGTGGTTCTTAAGTGCAGTCAGTTGATGGTCTTAGCACGGTCACCACTGACTCACACAGAGGCTCATAGACTCGCATAGAGACCCACAAACTCACACAGAGACCCATAGACTTACATGGAATCCTCTTGTGATTAAATCTGGTTCCCAAGTGCAGTCAGTTGATGATGGTCTTAGCCTGGTCACCAATAACTCACACAGAGACTCGTAGACTCGCATAGAGACCCACAAACTCACAAAGAGACCCATATACTTACATGGAATCCTGTTGGGATGAAATCTGGTTCTCAAGTGCAATGAGTTGATGGTCTTAGCCCGGTCACCACTGACTCACACAGAGACTCATAGACTCGCATAGACACCCACAAACTCACAAAGAGACCCATAGACTTACATGGAATCCTCTTGTGATGAAATCTGGTTCTCAAGTGCAGTCAGTTGATGGTATTAGCACGGTCACCACTGACTCACACAGAGACTCATCAACTCGCATAGACACCCACAAACTCACAAAGAGACCCACAGACTTACATGGAATCCTCTTGTGATTAAATCTGGTTCTTAAGTGCAGTCAGTTGATGGTCTTAGCACGGTCACCACTGACTCACACAGAGACTCATAGACTCGCATAGAGACCCACAAACTCACACAGAGACCCATAGACTTACATGGAATCCTGTTGGGATGAAATCTGATTCTCAAGTGCAATGAGTTGATGGTCTTAGCCCGGTCACCATTGACTGCACGTTCAATTTGTTTATGAGATTTGAAGTGATCCGTTTGATCGTCATGCTGACCATGATTCGCCTGCTGTGGTCGGGCGGGTGGGAAAATGATGCCTTCTGCTGTGCACAGCCCGAAAGCGTTCCACATGCACATTGTTACATAACGATAATTATATGATTTATTCTAGATTTGAAGTTTTCGTGACTGCAATGATCCATATTCTTTGGTTCTTTCGGTAAAGTCACGTAGGTGAAAATGATAATAAAATAAAAATATAAAAGTGAAAACTAAATTAAATCACGACGTTTCGGGCGCAACACAAGCATCCTTGATCAGGTGGGGACCACCACAGCGAAAACAGTCGCTGAGGTATGCAAGTGTTGTGGTTAATGCAGACATGAATCCTTGTAAAAAGGTTTCAGTTTTGTTGCCAGAAAAAAGGGGAAAACCCTATTACAGTAATCCCTCTCCACTTCGCGGTTCAAGTTTCGCGGCCTCAGTGCATCGCGGATTTTTCGAACTGATTTAAAGGCCTCGTTATACCTGTGCAGTAACACCATCATCATCATTCATCATCACATTCATCGAACTGCACAGGTCTGTCATCGTCGTCATTGTCATCGTCGCCGTCGTCATTACTGGAGTCAAGTCTCAAGATACTACTGTCATTGGTGAGTGTAGAACACCATAATACGTATCTCGTATGAGAGAGAGAGTGAATGTATTATATTAAGGTTTTATAATTAAATAGATTTAAGTAAAATATATATATAAAGTATAAATATACATATTTTAAACATTCTGGTACCCACACACACATAGACGGAAATTCCTAGGGGGCCAATCCTACTTCGGGATTTTCACCTATCGGGAGGGGTTCCGGTCCCCATTAACCGCGATAAACGAGGGATCACTGTATTATATTTTGGTACTGGCAAAGGAGGTCTAATGAAAATAAAACGAGTTTATAGTTTAGTTAGAAGTTCCGTGACGAGCGACGGTTCGTGCCGGGAGCCACCCGCGCACACTGGAACCAAGACGACCGAACGGGAACCGGGAACGCGACGCGGTGCTTATTTAAGAGATCGCCAAAAAAAAGTTTTTTTTACTTTTAATCGACGTCGTTATATATTCCATCTTTTATTTTACAGGACAAATCAGTTTCCGGCGGGGCAAACGGACGAACGCGGCCACGAGACGCGAGATCCGTAAACGAACGGCGATTCCACGCACCTCCCAGGCGAGGCGGGGGGGGGGTGGAGGGACGAGCTCTCCGTGCGCTCGTCCACACTTACGCTCGACACGTTTCATAACTTACCTTGACCGTTATTTACAACAACAAAAAACCGCGTCGCCGTTTCAAAAAACATTTCGGGCCGGTTCCGCCGTTGCCGCCGCCGCCGCCACGCGCCATCGCCATCCGCCGCCGGTAAAAACGTGGGTCGACCGCCACGCCTCTCTCGCGTTCCGATCGAGAAATACTAAAAGGTGGTGCTGGCGGCGACTCCGGAGTCGTCACCGCGTAGTGCAAAGCGTGTCTCTAAAAAATGGGGGGCGGGGAACAGCATCGGGCCCCGACCTCCGGGCCGGACGCGCCGAATCTCGTCTTGCAGACCGCGGCGAGGAGAGCCTCGTGGTCCGTGCAATGAAACCACGAATTGATTCCCTCCGGGTCCGTGCCTTCGTTGGCTTTAACCGCGGCCCGGATCGTGGCGGCCCTCCAATTTTATTTGACGATTCCCCCCGGCTGCGAGCATCGGTGTAGCGGCACCGATCGGGCAGCGGAGGTGATGACGTTGGAGCTGGCAGGCCCTGCCGTTGGTTTCTGGGCCGAGATTGGGAGCCGTGCTTTTTGTGTTTTTTGTGGGGGGGGGGGGGGGGGGTGGTCGTGTCGCGTGTTTCCCGCCTGAGCGGTTTGCCGGTTCTCGGCGCCCGTCGATGGTGAGTCTTTGCGGGATTTCATTTTTTGTGTGTTTGTGCATTAGGGGCGGAAGAAAGCGTCCGCGAAAACCACTGCACCAAGCCACGGCGCGGTGGCCGCCCATCTCCGCCACCCCCCACTCCCAACTGATGGGGGAACACCTCACCCCCCCCCCCCGCGCCCTTTCCAGTGTTTTGGTTCGACGCCCTTCGCCGTCACAATTCACGTCGGTCCTCCCTTCACATTTTCGTCTTCCTCCACCTCCTCCTCCGTGTCCTCCTCCTCATGCACGGCCACCACCGCCGCACATTCACTTGTCCGTCCGTCACTTACAACCGACCGCGACCGCGGCTCTCGTCGTCCACGCCCGCCATCGTCGCGGCCCGCCCAGAACGGCCGGCCGGCGGTCTCGGCGGCAAAAAAAACAAAAACGCCACCAGCACAAACGACTCGGCATCGCCCAGGGGGCTCCGTCGCGGTCCCGGTGACCGCTGGACACCGCCGGCGTCAGTGGCGCCGGCACGAGCGAGCGCCGGTGGTGGAAGTCGTTTGCCGCGTCGCCCTCGTCATCCTCCTCTTCCGTCCGGGCCGTGCCGGAGCCAGCGCCGTGCGTCATTGCCGAGCCGTGTCAGAGCTCGGAGTGGCGCTGCGGAGACTCGAGGCGCGCCGACAGCGCCGACAGGATGTGGTGGAACTTGTGCAGCCGCTCGTGGCGCTCGGCCCGGCAGCCGCGGCTGCCCCAGTAGAGGCGCAGGTGGAACTCGGTGCGGAACGTCTCCAGGGTCGCGGGGTCCACCGAGAATCCTGGCGGGCGACAGCACGGCGATCGGTGAGCGTCAGCGGGGGGCGGGGGGGGGGGTAGCGCCGCAAAGGGGGGACGACACGGCACAGTGCGTAGCGAGCCGCGCTAATCGGAGTGTGCGCGGGTAAGGACAACTGTCTGGCGAGATGTTGACTACCTCGCCTGGTATACAGGAGGTCGTGGGTTCGATCCGGACCCTGACGCCTGCTGCTGCTGTATATTTGGAGTTTGCGTGTCTCTCACTCTCTCCCCATTGTTGGGGGTGTGGATTTTCCTCCGGTTTTTCCCTCCACATTTAGAATCAACGTCTCGCGTCAGGAGCATTTGGCTGCTGTACATTTCCACACGACGACGATGATGATGATGATGAGCCGCCACTTCGTTGAGCTATCATTTGCGATGGCGAGGGTCGCTCCTGAACAAGAGCGACACATCTCAGCGGGCCCTTACCTGGTAAAAAAGTAAATTAAAATAAATAATATTTATTTTGTGTTATTCAAAGCCTCCACCCCAAGTGTGCACGTGGATCACAGGGAGGGGTGGCAAGAGCCCTCACGGAGGCCGGCAGGGCCGCACGCGGTGCCAATCGTGGGACAGCGAGGTAACGATGACGACAATTAGAACCAGGCCTACCACTACCCCTACCACTATCACTACCACTACCCCTCCTTTGCCCTCGCCTAAAAGCTGCGAATCGCAAGCCGCCCGCCCCGCACCTCTCAGCCGGCGCTCGGCGTTGGCGGAGTAGAGGGCGGCGTCGCGTGCCATCTCCCGCCCGGCCTGCAGATGCGCCACCACCGCCTCCATCCCCGCGTCGCCCGGCTGCTCCCACGCTTCGCCGGCGGAGGCGCCGCCGCGCGCCCACTCCCGCTCCCAGTCGCCGCCCGAGCCGGTCCTCTCAGCCGGCAGCGGCGGCCACGCCGGGACGGCGGCGGACGGCTCCGCCGGCGGCATCGGCTCCTCCAGGAGGGAGACGAGCGGCAGGAGGTGCGGGACGCTCGTGTCCCGGGCGTCGACGTGCACTGCGGTGGGCGACGAGAGAGGGGAGACGACGGAGAGAGGGGCAGAGGGAGACAGAGCGACGGAGAGAGGGAGAGAGAGGGGGATGGATGTAGAGAGACGGACAGAGACGGAGAGAGATGGAGAGAGAGAGACGGAGAGAGGGAGAGAGACAGAGTGAGCCTTTACGTTGGGCGCGTGCGGAGATTGATGACGTTGACATTGAGAACTATCACCATCATCATGATGACATCATTGCTATTAATCCTCGGTGTTTATCCGCGGGGGATTCTTGAATGTGACCCAACAGTTCCAATCGGGGCATCGTAGGGGCAGCTGACAACCGCTTTGCAATCGCCGCGGCGTTGCACCCCGTGACGGATAAACGACGCCCTCCTCCCCATCGGCAGGACGCTGCACTTGGACGTTTTGGCCGAATTCCATCGATGGCCCAACTTGCCTACGAGGTGACCCCACGACCCCCTCCCTCCCTCCCTCAAGCCACCCGGCGAATCCCGTCCCGTCCGCCAAACCACGGCCTTGTCAGCTGCCGCTACGACCTACACCGGGTGAGGCCCACAGACCCCCGCCACCGCCCCCACCCCCGCGACCGAGCCCACGAGAGAGAAGAGAGACGGGGACAGGGCGGCTGACCTTTGCCCTGCTGCAGCGCCAGCAGGAAGGGCTTGAGCTCCTTCTCGAAGGCGACGGCGCTCTGCGTGTGGGCACGGCGCAGCACCTCCCACGTCCGCTCCAGACGGGACACCTGGGGGGGACGCACGCCACGGTCACGACGATCGCCAAAGACGACGGCGCCAGCCCCCACCACCCCCACCCCCTCACTAACACCCCACCCCCCACTCACCAAACTCACCTCACTCACCAAACTCACCCCAACGTTACTCCGACGTTGCCCCAACGACGTTGCCCCAACGATGTTGCCCCAACGTAACCCCAATATTTTTTTTTTTCGATTTAAAGCTTTCGGGATTGCAGGGATTCATCTTCTTGGTTCTTTTCGGTAAAGTCACCGAAAGAACCAAGAAGATGAACCCCAATATTGTTACATCGTTACCTGAACGTTACCCCAATGTTGCCCCAACAACGTTACCCAAACAACGTTGCCCCAACGTAACCCCAACAACGTTACCCCAACGACGTTGCTCCAATGTTACCCCAACATCGTTATCCCGTCACACAAACGTTACCACGACGTCGCCCCAACAACGTTACCCAAACAACGTTGCCCCAACGTAACCCCAATAATGTTACCCCAACGACGTTGCCCCAACGTAACCCCAATATTGTTACATCGTTACCTGAACGTTACCCCAATGTTGCCCCAATAACGTTACCCGTTGCCCCAACGTAACCCCAACAATGTTACCCCAACAACGTTGCCCCAACGACGTCGCCCCAACGTTACCCCAACATCATTATCCCGTCACACAAACGTTACCCCGACGTCGCCCCAGCAACGTCTTCCCCCGCCGCCCCCCCCACCTGCGGGAGCATGAGCGCGTGCATGACGGCGGAGAATCCGTAGAGATCCGCCAGCGGCCCGCGCAGCTCCAGCGCCAGCTGCACGTAGCGGTGCAGCAGCTCGGCACGCTCCTCTAGGCAGCCGGTGCAGCCCAGCACGTCCACCGCCAGGCCGATCGCCAGCGCGTGGAACCTGCGGGGGGCGCGCAGACAAGGAGGAGACGGGGAACAGGGGGAGACGGGGGAGAAGGGGGAGACAGGGGAGATGGGGGACACGGGGGAGATGGAGACGGGGGAGACGGGGGAGACGGAGACGGGAGACAAGGGGGAGATGGGGGACACGGGGGAGACGGGGGAGAAGGGGGAGACAGGGGAGATGGAGATGGGGGACACGGGGGAGATGGAGACGGGGGAGACGGGGGACACGGGGGAGACGGGGGAGATGGAGACGGGGCAGACGAGGGACACGGGGGAGACGGGGGACACGGGGGACATGGGGGAGACGGGGGACACGGGGGAGACGGGGGAGATGGGGGAGATGGGGGAGATGGAGACGGGGGAGACGGGGGACATGGGGGACATGGGCGACACGGGGGAGACGAGGGACACGGGGGAGACGGGGGAGTTGGAGATGGGGGACACGGGGGAGACGGGGGACACGGGGGAGACGGGGGAGATGGGGGACATGGGGGAGATGGAGGAGATGGAGATGGGGGACACGGGGGAGATGCAGGCGGGAGACACGGGGGACACGGGGGAGACGGACACACGGAGACGGGGGAGAAGGGGGAGACAGAGACGAGGGTAAAGATTTTCGCCCCCCCCCCCCGCGTAGCCTTTAGCTGAAATGTCGGGGCAAGTGCGGAATGGATCGAACACGTGGGCTTTAGTTGAATGCGTAGGAGTGGGGCTTTCGTGACCAATATGTCGTCAAATAACAGAGGTTTTGTGTTGTTGTTGGGTTAGATCGCGTAAATATAAATGTGTCGTTAAACCCGCCACCGCGTGACCCAGCCAATCAGTGAGGTTTGTCACGTCAACAAAACGTGCCAGTCCGTTACTACTTCAGCACACCGGTTGAGTGTCGGAGTGTGAACCCACAACATTTACAGTTGAAGTACCGTGAAGTTTCGCCGGTGATTATGACAGCGAGCATCATCAGGTGACAGCCAGGATCGCGAATATCTCCTCCCGTATTCTTAGGTGACTTTATCGATAAAACCGAAGAATATGAATCCTTGCAGTCACGAAAGCTTCAAATTTAGTATCTTCTCCCGTTTCCGTCTTAAACAGAGGTGGGGTCAAGGCGATGGCATCACTCTGAGCCACAGGCCAGGAGGCTGCACGACGCGGGAGCCGGGACTCGTTCACCCGCGGTCGAAAAATCGCCGTCGCCCGGCGGATCCCGCGCGGCCAAACCGGGGCGGTTACGGAGTGGACGGGGGCGGCGGAGGACACTCACCGCTCGATGACGTCTTCTCTGAGCCGCCGTCCGTGCGGCAGGGTGAGCAGCTCCAGGCCGGAGCGGACGCCCATCTTCAGGACGAGCTCCTCCGTCACCCCGGTGATGCGAGCCACCTGCGGGGAGCGCGGGCGGGGAGGGGGGGGTCATCACTCGCGCCGTCACGGTCACGTGAGCCGCTGATTCATCACAGCTTCGGCCGCGCCGCCGCCGTAAGCTCGCCTCCCCTCCCCGCGCGAAGGACGCACGACCGCCCGTTCCGCCGGCGACGACCGGGCCGACGGAGAGTCGCGCGCGGCGGTCCGGCGAACCGGCGGCCTCCCCGCGGTACTACGCGACCTCTCACCTCGCAGTCGAGCAGCATGATGCAGCGCGCGGCCGTGCGCACGTCGCACTCGCCCTGCAGCTCCTTGGCGCGCCGCAGCACTCCCGTCTCCAGCGGCTTGTTCTCCGGCGGCAGCAGCAGCGACGCGAACTCCAGCGGCCGGAACGTCGACTCCGTCTCCACGGTGGGGCGGCGGAATTCCGCGGCCGCCGCCGCCGCGGCGTCTCTGGCGGCGTCGCCGGCGTCACCGCCGCCCGCGGCCGAGGCCTCGCGCGCCGGGCCCGGCGGCGGTGGCGGCAGCAGCAGGCTCCGCTTGGCGGCAGCGGCGGCGGCCGCGGCCGCGTTGACGTCGCTCTCCAGCCGCAGGGCGGCCGCGTCCCGCTCGAGGGCCTCCATGGCCTTGTGGGGCGAGATGAGCGAGTGGTACGGCTCCGAGTCGCCCGCCAGCCGCTCCTCCGCGTGTTTGCCGGAAGCGGGGACCGCCCCCGACGTCCCGTTGGCGGGCGGGGGCGACGTCGTCCAGGAGAGGTCGGCGTGGGCCGACGGCTGCGCGGACCGGAGGCCCTTGGGCGACCAGGTGGGGGTCCTGCGGAGGCCGTCTCGCCAGATGTCCGCCCCTGCAACGCCGGACGTGCGACAGGATCCACGTTGGTCGATCTCCGTGGACGCCGCGCGTGATGCGGTTCGAAGCCGGGGAGTGGAATTCTCGATTGCTGCCGTGAGTGACGGCCGTGCCGAGAGGTGCGCTGGACGTGGTGCGCCGGGTGTGTGTACGTGTGTGTGCGTGTGTGTGTGTACGTGTGTGTACGTGTGTGTGTGTGTGCGTGTGTGTGTGTACGTGTGTGTGTGCGTGTGTTGAACTTGTTTCGACCGGTGCGTGGCCGACCGCGCTAATTGCGGCAGCGATCGTTCGTCGACAGCATTGGGGCTGTAATGAAACTGGCACGTGTTCTGTGTCGTGTGTTTAAAAGTCGACTCAGCCTCAAATGAGTACCTGGTGCGGTGTGTAAACATCGTCACTGGGGAGACAAAGGCGGTCGGGCGTGGTGTTGACCCACCCCCTTGTGTGTCGTGCCGGCCTTCATAGGTGCTCGCTAATAGCACTTGCGGTCCGTTAAGGCTATACGGGGGATCTTTGTGTGCGTGTGTGTGTGCGCGTGTGTGTGTGCGCGTGTGTGCGTGTGTGTGCGCGTGTGTGTGTGTGTGTGTGCACGTGTGTGTGTGCGCGTGTGTGTGTGTGTGCGCGTGTGTGCGTGTGTGTGCGTGTTTGTGTGTGCACGTGTGTGTGTGTGTGTGCGCGTGTGTGTGTGTGCGCGTGTGTGCGCGTGTGCGTGTGTGTGTGGTGTAGCGGTTGGTTAGTGTCCACCAGGTGCCTCCCTGTCACTCGGGCTGCCGGGGGAACGCGTTACCAAGCACAATGGGGCAGCTCTGTAGCATGACGCGCGCCTCTGTGTGTTTGTGTGTGTACGTTTGTCTGTGTACGTGGGGAGCGGTGGTGCAACGGTTAGCGCGCTACGCCACGGACCCGGCGACCTGAGTTCGATTCCCATTTACGGCCGACACCAGTGACGATTATCTGAACCGGTCCTGGGCCTCCCCTAGGTAGACTCAGCCTCAAATGAGTATCTGGTGCGGTGTGTAAACATCGCCACTGGGGAGACAAAAGCGGTCGGGCGTAGTGCTGGCCAACCACCCCCTCGTGTGCCGTACCGGCCTTTATAGGTGCTCGCTAACAGCACTTGCCCCAGCGGTCCGTGAAAAGCTACGCGGGGGACCTTTGTCTTTGCGTGCTCGACGCGAGCGTCGCGTTCACCCACCGGTGCCGTATCCCGGCAGCGTGTTGCCCTGGGCGTGCGCTTCAGATGCCCTTCCGTCCTGCGTCCAATCAAACACCATGCCGTTCCTGCAGCCACAACAACAACAACAACAGCACGCAGCTTGGGTCTCACGTCGCAGTGTCCACACGGAACGGCACATCGCAGGGCCGTCAATCCTTGAAACGGACAAACTTTCCGATGATCAAGAAGAATTTCCACGAAATAAATTGTTTTTTTTAAACGTCGCCGGCGCAATTGCGTGCCGCTGAGCCGTGTCATCGGGCTAATGAACAAGGCGGAGGAGCAGCCCTGCAATTTCTCGCTCACCGCTGCGAGCGGACAGGGCTTTGCAGCAAGCGGCTCTGTCGAAGGTGTCCGACTCTTCCACCCGCGGGCCAGATGCCACTGGAAGTGGTGGCGGTGACACACACACTCTACCCCACCGCGCTCTACACCACTACACTCTACCCCACCACACTCTACCCCACCACACTTTACCCCACCACACATTACCCCACCACACTTTACCCCACCACACATTACCCCACCACACTCTACCCCACCGCGCTCTACCCCACCACACATTACCCCACCACACTCTACCCCACCACACATTACCCCACCACACTCTACCCCACCACACATTACCCCACCACACTCTACCCCACCACACTCTACCCCACCACACATTACCCCACCACACTTTACCCCACCACACTCTACCCCACCACACATTACCCCACCACACTCTACCCCACCACACTCTACCCCACCACACATTACCCCACCACACATTACCCCACCACACTCTACCCCACCACACTCTACCCCACCACACTCTACCCCACCACACATTACCCCACCACACTCTACCCCACCACACATTACCCCACCACACTCTACCCCACCACACTCTACCCCACCACACATTACCCCACCACACTTTACCCCACCACACTCTACCCCACCACACATTACCCACCACACTCTACCCCACCACACTCTACCCCACCACACATTACCCCACCACACATTACCCCACCACACTCTACCCCACCACACTCTACCCCACCACACTCTACCCCACCACACATTACCCCACCACACTCTACCCCACCACACTCTACCCCACCACACATTACCCCACCACACTCTACCCCACCACACTTTACCCCACCACACATTACCCCACCACACTTTACCCCACCACACATTACCCCACCACACTCTACCCCACCGCGCTCTACCCCACCACACATTACCCCACCACACTTTACCCCACCGCACCAGACCCAATTCTATCGCCGGGCGGACGGAGGCGGGAGATGGAATCCACCCGGCGACCTCTGGTTCGCCCCGGCGACCTCCCCGGCGACCTCCGGTTCGCCGGGTGGACAACGACATCGGTCACGATGGATGCTCTCACCGGTGACAGATTCGGCCTCCGGTCGCGCCGCCGCGAGCGCCACCACTGACCTGTAGGACGTGTCCGTCAGCTGATGACGCTTCGACGACCCCTGATGACCCCTGACGTCGCAGCCGCCGCCGCCGCCGTCGCCGCAGCAGCAGCCGCCGGCTCCGTGGTTCCCGGCGCAACCCGCGTGGCGCTCCGGCCTCTCTTGCCGGTAGAAGCTATCGAAGCCGCAGCTGTTGTTGTTGTCGTTGCTGCCGCCGTGAGCCGCCAGCTCCGCCAGGCGCGCCGCGTCGCGGTGAACGGCGGCGAGGTACGCCAGCGGCACGGCGCGGTTCACCGGCCGCGCGATGCACACGGGCCCGAACCCGCCGGGCCCCGGCTGGCCCGGCGACACGGGCTGCCGGTTGCCGACGTAGAAGCGCACGAGCGACGGGACGCTGCCGAAGCCGTCGCCGCCGGGCTGGATGGCGTAGGAGTCGCCGAGCGAACGCCGGTGGTGGCCGTCGCCGGAGGAGCGCTGCTGGGCCGCCGCCGCCGCGGTGGAGGTGGTGGGCGTGCGGCGCTCGACGCGGAAGTGGAGCGGCCGCTCGGCCCAGCGGCACGACAGCACCAGGCCGCCGGCGCCCGACAGCGAGTCGCGCAGCAGGAAGTCGCCGTCGCGCTCCAGCTGGGACTCGGCCACCTGCGGCGGTCACGGTGGGGTGGGGGCGATGACGACAATGACGACGGGGTTCACGCGGGGTCACTGCGTCTCTTTCTCTCTCATCATCATCACGGTGGCTAGGAGATGTTGACTACCTCGCCTGGTACGCAGGAGGTCGTGGGTTAGATCCCGACCCTGACGCCTGCTGCTGCTGTATATTTGGAGTTTGCGTGTCTCTCTCTCATCATCATCACGGTGGCTAGGAGATGTTAACTACCTCGCCTGGTGTACAGGAGGTCGTGGGTTCGATCCCGACACTGACGCCTGCTGCTGTGTATTTGGAGTTTGCGTGTCTCTCTCTCATCATCACGGTGGCTAGGAGATGTTGACTACCTCGCCTGGTATACAGGAGGTCGTGGGTTCGATCCCGACCCTGACGCCTCTTGCTGTGTATTTGGAGTTTGCGTCTCTCTCTCATCATCATCATCACGGTGGATAAGAGACGTTAACTACCTCGCCTGGTACGCAGGAGGTCGTGGGTTCGATCACGACCATGACGCCTGCTGTATATTTGGAGTTTGCGTGTCTCTCCCTCTCTCTTTACCTCATGGTCGCGTGGATTTTTCTCCGAGTCCTCCAGGTTTTCCCCTCCACATTTAGAAACACGCGTTTAATAGTATTTGGCTGCCATAAATTTCCACGCGAAGATAAGCCACTGAGTTGAGACATCATTTGTGGCCAGGTCGCTTCTGACAAAGAACTAAAGAGCTCAGTTGGCCTTATCTGGTAAAGCAAAAAATAGTTTAGATTTAGAGAGGAGTAGGGTTAAGTGTTTGGGGTGGAACCACTACAATGTTTTCAATGGGGTTCGTGTTCGGGGTTGTGTTTTTGTTAGTCATAGGCTTAACGTGGCCTCAAGGTGCACATGGCCTGGCACAAGCGTCGTGGTGACGTCACCGCCACGTAGTGGCGAATGGCGGTTGTTGTTGTTAGGGGTAGAGTTAGAGGAGGATTAATGTTAGGGATAGAGCTGCTGTAGTGAAAGGCTTAGCGTTGGTGGTAATGATAGTGTTAGAGATAGGCTTAGAGATAGGCTTAGCGTTGGTGGTAATGATAGTGTTAGAGATAGGCTTAGAGATAGGCTTAGCGTTGGTGATAATGTTAGCGTTAGAGATAGGCTTAGAGATAGGCTTAGCGTAAAAACTAGGCTTAGCGTTGGTGATAATGTTAACGTGAGAGATAAGCTTAGTGTTGGTGGTAATGTTAGCGTGAGAGATTGGCTTAGCGTAAAAACTAGGCTTAGCGTTGGCGGCAATGTTAGCGTGAGAGATAGCTGTCGCGTTTCAGTCGCTGTGCGGCTGAATCGCAGCAAGCAGCCGTAGCGGAGGAGCGACCGGCGGTGCATCCGCGCGACAGCGCCGAGGTGCCCCTATCCCGGCGCAATCGCCGTGCCGACGTCGCCGGCTGCCGCGTGTGCCGGGTGCGGCGCTCGCCTGCCGGGGGATGGCGCCGTGGTACCACGCGTGGCTGCGCACGTCCTCACTGTCCAGCTTCAGCTCGCTCTCCAGCTCGCGCTTCAGGCGGTCGGCGCTCCAATCGGCGGCGGTGCCCGGCGCGTGGGGGACCTGCGGCACGCGGCATGGACAGGGTCAGCGGCGGGAGGGGGTCGCGCGCGTTCGCCCGCTCGTCTGCTTACCCAGTCATGGACTCACCCACTGGCCTATTTACCCACTCGCCCACGCACTAATCTATCTACCCACTTGCTCACCCACCCACTGGTCTATTTAGCCATTCACAGACCCACCCACTGGTCTATTTACCCATTCACAGACTCACCCACCGGCCTATTTACCCATTCACAGACTCACCCACTGGCCTATTTACCCATTCACAGACTCACCCACCGGTCTATTTACCCATTCACATACTCACCCACTAGTCTATTTACCCATTCACAGACTCCCCCACTGGCCTACTTACCCATTCACAGACTCACCCACTGGTCTATTTACCCATTCACAGACTCACCCACTGGTCTATTTACCCATTCACAGACTCACCCACTGGCCTATTTACCCATTCACATACTCACCCACTAGTCTATTTACCCATTCACAGACTCACCCACTGGTCTATTTACCCATTCACAGACTCACCCACTGGTCTATTTACCCATTCACAGACTCACCCACTGGCCTATTTACCCATTCACAGACTCACCCACTGGTCTATTTACCCATTCACATACTCACCCACTGGCCTACTTACCCACTCGCCCACGCACTAATCTATCTACCCACTTGCTCACCCACCCACTGGCCTATTTTCCCATTCACAGACTCACCCACTGGCCTACTTACCCATTCACAGACTCACCCACCGGCCTATTTACCCATTCACAGACTCACCCACTGGTCTATTTAACCATTCACATACTCACCCACAGGCCTACTTACCCACTCGCCCACGCACTAATCTATCTACCCACTTGCTCACCCACCCACTGGCCTATTTACCCATTCACAGACTCACCCACTGGCCTACTTACCCATATACAGACTCACCCACTGGTCTATTTACTCATTCACAGACTCACCCACTGGTTTATTTACCCATTCACAGACTCACCCACTGGTCTATTTACCCATTCACAGACTCACCCACTGGCCTATTTACCCATTCACAGACTCACCCACTGGCCTATTTACCCACTCGCCCACGCACTAATCTATCTACCCACTTGCTCACCCACCCACTGGCCTATTTACCCATTCACAGACTCACCCACTGGTCCATTTACCCACCTAGTCACCCACCCACTGGCCCATTTACCCAATCGCCCACTCACCCCCCGGCCTATTTACCACTCAGCCACTCCCTCGCCCACTCACACACCAAGCATGCCGGTTAAAAGGGCTTTTTAAACTCTTGCACACTGCAACGCGACTTTCAATGCAAAGAAATGTTCCGCCAATAGGCGTACAAACGATCTGCAACTTGAAGAGACCCCGGCATCAGCTGCCGTGATATCCGCTTGCGCAGACCGCTCTTTACAACGCACGGGCTGACGCGCCATCGCGCTAACGTCGAGTTTCACTCTGCCACGCCGCTCCAACCGTGATCCCTCCACCCCCCAACAACAACAACAGCAGCAGCAGGCGCCATTCGCCACGGCGCTTGTGCCGGGCGGCGCGAAGCATCGAAGGCTCGCTGCTGACAGGAGGTCACGGGACAGACCCTCCAGGTACCGTGGGTTGCCCGACTACCGGACATCTGCGAAACGACTGCAGGCCTGGTGAACAAGAGCTTTGCAGCTCATCGGATTCCTCCTGTGGGAATATTCCGATTGTGACCGAGACGACTGGCAGATGCACCAGCTGTGCCCACCGCCCCAGGCACGAGACTTCCATGCCCAGGTATGCCCCCGTTGTACGGCAACTCGATACACGAGACTTGAGCATTCCGGCCAAATTTTTTTTCCGGCGAACGCGTCTGTCGCCCCCGTGTATCAGAGTGGATCGGATTGCCCCCCGCCCCCCCCCCCCCTCGATGGAGAGCAGCCACTGCCGCTTTTGTCACCTAACACGGGGTGGAACGGAGCGATTCTAGACCTCGCCCGTCAGGTGTCGGCCCCGCTCACCGCGGCTCGCACGGTGAGTGGGAGTTACTCGACGACGCAGCGCGCGCTCCAAAAGAAACCTCCACCGCAGCGAAGTTGTGGGGAGTGGGGAGGGAGGAGGGGCGGTTTCGAAATTCAGACGAAGCACCACTTTGGCTGCGAGCACCACGTTCCACCATTCGACCTTCGATCTTTTCTCTGCCCCACTCGCTGGAGACATCCGCCTCCAACCTCCCACTTCTCCCCCCTCTACCTCCCCTCTACCTCCCCTCCCCTCCCTCCCCTGCATCGGACACCAAAGACAAAGATCCCCCGTATAGCCGGAACAGACTGTCGGGGCAAGTGCTGTGAGCGAGTAGCACCGACGAAGGCCGGAACGGCACACGAGGGGGTGGGTGGCCAGCACCGCACCCGACCGCCTTTGTCTCCCCGCTGGCGATGTTTTACGCACCGCACCAAGTACGCGTTTGAGGCTGAGTCGACCTAGGGGGAGGCCCAAGACTGGTTCAGATAACTGTCACTGGCTGTTGGTGGCCGTGAGCGGGGAATCGAACTGGGGTCGCCGGGTTCGGAGCGCAGCGCCCTAATCGCTATGCCACCGCTCCCCACGACATGAGGACACCACAAACCGGAACATTGACATCTGTTCAACAACAGGCAGAGGAGGCCGGATTTCGCATATGAACTGTGCCCTTGTATCGTGTCTGTCGTGCGCCTTCTGAACTTCTGCTTTCAACCCACGGCTGACCCCCCCCCGCACCACAGAGAGTGGGTGGGGGGGGGGGCGTCAAAATTGTTAAATTCTCTTCCGAGGTCATTCACAAAAGGAGGGTTTCACACAGTGGGCCCCTGTGTGTGTCCCAGGCCCTCACAAGGGGCCCTGTGTGTGTTGGCCCCGGTCCTCCAGGAGCATCTCCGGAATGCCCGGCCGCTCCATCTCCCTCTCCACCTCCCCCTGTGCGTGTTTGTGTGTGCGGAGCGGTGGTGTGGCAGGTTAGCGCGTGAAACCCGGCCACCCGGGTTCGATTCCCGCTCACGGCCGACACCGGTGACGATTATCCGAACCGGTCCTGGGCCTCCGTGAGGTCGACTCAGCCTCAAATTAGCACCTGCTGTGGTGTGTAAACATCGCCACTGGGGAGACAAAGGCGGCCGGGCGTGGTGCTGGCCACCCACCCCCTCGTGTGCCGTGCCGGCCTACATTGTTGCTGCTACTCGCTAACAGCACTTGCCCCAACAGGATGTTAAGGCTACACGGGGGATCTTAATTTGTTTTTTTATGCCAAACTTCTTTCGCGCACCGTACGTAGCCAACCGTGCGAATCTGGGGGGAGGACAACTTGTGAGATGCGTGTCTCTGTCATCATCATCACGGTGGCTAGGAGATGTTGACTACCTCGCCTGGTGTACAGGTGATCGTGGGTTCGATCCCGACCATGACGCCTGCTGCTGTATATTTGGTGTCTGCGTGTCTCTGTCATCATCACGGTGGCTAGAAGATGTTAACTACCTCGCCTGGTGTACAGGAGATCGTGTGTTCGATCCCGTCCCTGATGCCTGCTGCTGTATATTTGGTGTCTGCGTGTCTCTCTCTCTCCCTGTGGTCGCGTGGATTTGCCTCCGGATCCTCCGGTTTCCTCTCCGCATTTGGAATCAACGTGGGTTTAGAGTATTTGACTGCGATACATCTCCACACGATGATGAGCCCACTTCGTTGAGCTGTCAAAGAGCCTTGCCTGCTAATTTAAAAATAAAAGTGTAAATGTTATTAGGAAAGGCTTTATTGACTCCGATGAGCTGGGTCAGCCGCAGTTGCGGGTCCGAGTTCAATTCCCAGTAAAGTTGCCTGCCCCTCAAAGACAAAGACCCCCCGTATAGCTTCAACAGGCTGTCGGGGCAAGTGCTGTTAGCGAGTACCTATGAAAGCCGGCACGGCACACGAAGGAGCGGGGGGGGCCGGGCAGCACCACGCCGGGCCGCCTTTGTCTGCCAGGCACTCATTCGAGGCCGAGTCGACCTAGGGGAGGCCCAGAAACGGTTCCGATAATCATCACCGGTGGTGACTTTGAGCGGGAATTGAACTCGGGTCACCGGGGTTCGCGTAGCGCACCGGGGTTCGCGTAGCGCAGCGTAGCGCTAACCGCTGTGCCACCGCTCTTCCCAACTCCCCACTTCCTCCCCCTCCCCGCCCCCACCGCCCACCCCCCTCCCCCCTCCCGCCTCCACCCCTTCCCCGTTCACAAAAAGAACAATGGCCTTTGTTTATCCAGGAAAGCCGTGCTGAGCAGTCTTCCAAAAGTCGTCTCTTTATGGTCCCGATGTTTGCATTGTTGGAACACGGGGGGGGGGGGTGTGGGTTGGGGGGGGGGTCATAGCTTATATTGAGTGCTGTCTGGCCAATAACATCATCTGGTTCATCCGGCAGAGTTCGTCTCACGAGCCTGACTGCTGCGAAGGGCATTTGCTCGAATGGGAAGGGGGGGGGGCCCTTCGTCCAGCAGTGGACCTGGGCAAGAAACAGGTCGCTGAAAATAAAATGGAACCGTCGCCTCCGACCACCCTTAGGAGCACGGAGCTGAATAACTTGCCGCTGAATCGTTCATCAGGTCGCTGCTGCTGCTGCTGCGTAGAGGGCGGTCTGGGTGGCTTGCAACTCGTAGTCGCAACAGCCCTCCACCCACCCCCACCACCCCGGTCGTGAGTTTTGCGAGTTTGAAGTTGCAAGCTCTCACGGCGTCTCAAGGTCTCACGGCGTCTCAAGGTCTCACGGCGTCTCAAGGTCTCACGGCGTCTCAAGCTCTCACGGCGTCTCAATCTCTCACGGCGTCTCAAGGTCTCACGTTGTCTCAAGGTCTCGTGTCGTCTCAAGGTCTCACGGCGTCTCAAGCTCTCACGGCGTCTCAAGGTCTCACGGCGTCTCAATCTCTCACGGCGTCTCAATCTCTCACGGCGTCTCAAGGTCTCACGGCGTCTCAAGGTCTCACGTTGTCTCAAGGTCTCGTGTCG